GCGAATACCGTTCTCTGGAGTTCACAGACCTGGCCTTTGAGGTTGGCCACTCCACCCTGCGTGAGCCCGAGGACCGGACACTGTAAGGAACTGTTTTCCACTTTTCAAAGCTTTAGACAAAGACTGATGCTTCAAGGCAGCTTCTGGCTGTCTTTCTTTAGAAGGTTGATCAACAGGGCTGGGATCCTGATATCTTAGCAAGCACATTAAGGTTCATCCCTGTCTTTGCTGCAGGTTGTTTTGGACTGACATCTCAATTCATGCTGAAAGCAATTCATTTTGCTTGATGGGTGATTCAGCTAATATTTCCACTAATGGATTGATTCACACCTCAATTTAAATGTTCGGTTATACATACAGCTTGCATATTAAAAGTTTATGGCGCTGAAGAGATAAGTGCCAGAATAACAAAAGGGTATGTCTAATTTGATAAAAAGAAGGATTAGGGGTGATATGATAGCAGTCTTCCAATATCTCAGGGGCTGCCACAAAGAAATGGGAGTCAAACTATTCTTCAGAGCAGCTGAGGGTAGAACAAGAAGCAATGGGTAGAAACTAATCAAGTGAAGAAGCAACCTACAACTAAGAAGAAATTTCCTGACAGAACAATTGATCAGTGGAACAGCTTGCCTCCAGACGTTGTGAATGCTCCAACACTGGAAGTTTTTAAGAAGATGTTGGATAACCATTTGTCTGAAGTGGTGTAGGGTTTCCTGCCTAGGCAGGGGGTTGGACCAGAAGACCTCCAAGGTCCCTTCCAACTCTGTTATTGTATTCTATTCTATACATATACATTAACTGAACATTTGTTGTATGTTTGCTAGGATTGGCATTTAACTGCACTACTGGAGTTACTATTCAGGGCATCTGCAGTTTAGATGGTGGTTGCAATCTTATAATCAGAAGCTCATAATGCGTGCAAAAGAGGGGTAGGGGTTTCATTATCTTAATTGTTTTTATTTTTAATTATTTTACCACCCAGAGTCCCTTGTCGAGGTGGGCAGCCATACAAATTGAACGGCTCCATCGCTGTGAAGTTTTTGCAAGTCCCTCAAGATTTCGCTCCGTCATCAGACTTGGGGCCTCCAAGTGAATGATGAGCTGTTGAGGTGGCTCCATTGTTGTCAATATATGACACATATCTCCTTGGCTTTTTAAATTTGTACTATTAATGTTTTAATTGTTCATTGTTTTTTATATTACTGTTGCTGAGCATTTTTATTGCCTACCACCCAGAATCAGATGTTGTGAGATGTGAGGCTATATAAATATGATGAATAAATAAATAAAGGGAGTGACTGCAGCTGCCATCCTAATATTTTATTCCCTCCCACTTCTCCAAGGACACCCAACTATAGTCCCCACCAGAGAGAACTGTTAAGTGTTGTATTCCAAAGCATCTTTGAGATAAATGAAACTTTTCCCAATACAAGATTAGCTTCACAGCCTAAATTTTCAAACATTTTGTATAATTTATTCTTTGGTTACAGATTTGTAGATATATTGGTATTGTTCTGCTTTAAAGGTAGTCTTAGTTCTGACAATATCCTACTTTTAAAATAAACTAATTCACAATGAAAATAACACATGTCAAGAGGAAATAACAAGAAATATTTGTAAAAAAAACTACAAATGATTTGGTTTACATTTTTGGGAAAATGTAAGCAGACAGATATGAAACACGGTCTTTGGGATTTTTTTTACTAAGAAGTGAGCAAAACAGCAGTCAAAAGGTTAGTTTCTTTATGCATATGTCTTTGAGAGACGCACTAAAATATTTTCCACTTTACAGTAAAAGAAGGGAGTAAAGAAGAATGGAGGATTTTTAAAAAGGTGAGATTATCATTTCAAATCAGAGTTACATTCTTACTATCTAGTAAGGAATTCTGGGTCTCTATAATAAGGAACATCTGGCTCAGTTTATAATGCCTTGGTAAAGCCACACTTGGAATACTGAATCGTTTTGGTTACCACAATATAAAAAAGATGTTGAGACTCTAGAAAGAGTGCAAAGAAGAGCAACAAAGATGATTAGGGGACTGGAGACAAAACATATGAAGAACGGTGCAGGAACTGGGTATGTCTAGTTTAATGAAAAGAAGGACTAGTGGAGACATGATAGCAGTGTTCCAATATCTCAGGGGCTGCCACAAAGAAGAGGGAGTCAAACTATTCTCCAAGGCCCCTGAGGGTAGAACAAGAAGCAATGGGTGGAAACTAATCTAGGAGAGAAGCAATTTAACACTAAGGAGAAATTTCCTGACAGTTAGAACAATTAACCAGTGCCTCCAGAAGTTGTGAATGCTCCAAAGCTGGAAGTTTTTAAGAAGAGATTAGATAACCATTTGTCTTTAATGGTGTAAGCCTAAGGGGTTGGACTAGAAGAACTTCAAGATCCCTTCCAATGCTGTTATTCTATTCTATTCTATTCTATTCTATTCTATTCTATTCTATTCTATTCTAATATGTTTCTGAACTACAATTCCTAGCCACCCCTCCAATGCTGACAATACTGTGAGATTGTTCTTGAATAAGTGGAGAACAACAATATATTTTACCTGTAGATTATCACAAATGTTTTTAAAGTATGAGAGAGTAATTCCTCTTATTGTTCACTTTCAAGTAATGTTTTCAATAGACTGTGAAGCCAAATGGTGCCCAGCATAACAGATTTATAAAGATCCAGAAACTACTTAAAATATATATCCCACTGAAATCTATAGAGCGTAGAGCTGGTTTATATATGTGTGCACATCATTTCTCAACATGATGATTTATTGGTTCCTCTGTAAAGCATCTCTACTGTTTTAACTGTGATAGTTCATTCACACACCAATGCCATTAAGTGATGTATCCATGCATGGATTCCTGCTAAACATATTAGTTCAGACAAATTTGCCCAAGTGTTTAACCTGAGAAAGTTTTGTGCTCATTACCAATGTTAGATAAGGCTATCCCCTTGAAACATATGGAATTGGCAGGGGTCTTGAAACATGTAAAAAGAGTTTCTTGAGTGCTAACACTTCTTAGGAATTAATTATTATGACAATTGCCTCAGAGCACAGGTGTCAAACTCACAGGCCAGATGTGTCATGTGCTGGCCACCCCCCCCCTCGGTTTAGTGAAGGGGGAGAAAGTTGTGATACATCACATGACGACAACATGATGCCGCGAATTTGACACCCCTGCCTCAGAGAGACAATGCTGCCAAAGAGAAAAATGCAGAAACCAAAACTGAATTCCTAAATCATTATGAAAATGAGATTACTGCAAGATGCTGCTCTATCAGTAACTTATAGGTCCATGGATTCCTTGAAGGGTAGTTTTTGCGCAAACAGTAGCATTTTTACACTAAGCTTACCGCATGATTGCTCTTAATGCAAACTTTGTTCCAGCATCATTTGGGGTAAAGCAATGAATATAATCTTAGAAATACTTGTATCAATTGCCCAGTAAAAACCCTACATTTCTCACAACTACTGAGTTTTGAGCGACTATGCATGCTGCATATGTCTGGAGAAATAACAAATGTGTGCAGCTAGCACCTAATTTGCAATAATATTGAAGTCCCTCCATGATAACTCATTTACTCTTATAATAAATATATAAAAAAGACAAATTGCTACATTGAACATGCATTTTCTTCACTGCATGGAGCTGCTACCCCAGGGAGAAAGCCCTGTGCTGCTAACTAATAGTAAATCCTTTGGAAAATCATGTGTCATAATGATGGACAATCACGGAAAGAGTATTAAATAGATTTAGAGGTTAGATACTCAATGAGAACAAAAGGGACTCTTTGCAAACTCGCACCAATCAGGGCTGCCTTGACGGTGTGAAGATTAGCACCAAATCCCAGCCTGAAAGAAAAAGGTTCATTATGAGACAAAACAACAAAGGGTTTGCCCAAAGAATCTTACTCTGCATTGTAAGTAGAGGGTTATCATATTACCATGGTGATTCTTTAAGGAACAATTAACACCTGGGGAATCACCCTACAACCTCTTCCACTCTAAAGCCAACTGGCTCATTGGGCTGCGGAAATATATAAAATACAGTGGTCCTTATTCTTAAATTTTTGTTTATTTTTTTATGTAAAATTTTATTGCTTTTGGGTGTTTAATTGTAGGCTGCCTAAAGTCAAGTAAAAGTGAAAATGGGTGAATAAATATAAACTGAACAAATAAATACAATGAATAAATAAACTATAGATGGTGCCACTTATACCCGGATCTATGAAATAATATGTCATTTACACAAAACTCTGGACCGATTTAGAAGGCCAGTAGCCTATTCAAGTAGTGATCCTGATCTCATATGAGCTCTTGGTCTTCTGGAAAATTCCTTTTGCAAAATGAAAAAAATAATTTGAAAAAGTGATGCCAACACACTGGACAAATAACACCTGAGTTCCCTGAATATCTGAATCTGCTTAGCATCCCCAAATGTTAAGTAATGGTTTATATTGTAAATGAGATACTGGTCACATTGGTTGGAATTGATGGTTTTCAAGTTCAACTGACAGTTTCTTTTCTCAGATTTCAATTAACAGAGCATATCCTTTTGTTTTCTGTAAAGCATTAGGTATACTGTTGTTTTCAATGGTATTTTAACATAGTTATGTAATAGAAGAGAGCTGGTGTAGCGGTTAAAGCACCAGGTTAGAAACTAGAAGACTGTGAGTTCTAGTCCTACCATAGGCATGAAGCTAACTAGGTGACCTTGGGCCAGTCACTCTCTTTCAGCCTAGTTTCAGACAAACCATTTCTGAAATCTTGTCAAGAAAACTGCAGAGATTTGTCCAGATAGTCAATACTGATTTGAAGGCAGCAAACTATATTGTATTGTATTATATTGCCTTGTGTTGCATTGCATTGTTATTCTGTTCTGTTCTGTTGTTCTGTTATGTTCTGTTATAGTCTAGTTCAGTCCCACACATACATACATACATACATACATACATACATACATATGTAAGTACGTACATACATGAAAATATATACATATACACATACTGTATACATTTGTTAGATCACTCATATTCAATTGATAAAACTAGCTATCCAATTTCAAACTTGAATT